TTTTATTCACTCGTTGTGAAGAATCGCAAACTCACTCGTTCGCTGCGCTCACTCGTTCGTTTTCGATTCTTCACAACTCGTGAATAAAAATCGTACGCACTCACCAACCATGAAGTAATCTCTATTTATTTCATGTGCGGGCTAGAAATGCCAATAGCAATGTGTAAGCTGTAGCAATGTGTAATGTAAGCTGAGATATGCTAAATGTTTAACACTACTGGAGTGGAGGAGTCCTGGAGTGAAATCACCCTTGCACATACTGTAAAAGTTAAAAAGATGGGCTGGACACATCAATGGGCCAGTAGTAATGTGTTGTGCACATGTGACATGAAAACCATTCATCTCAGCACACAAACAATCAGTGCAAACATCCTTAAGTGCCACGATGATGCAAGTTTTAAACCAGAAGAAAAACTACACAATGTTCTTAGAATTTCAGAAAGTAAATTCCTGGTAAATTTTGTTGTTATTTATTTTATTTAGCTGATTCTGGTAGAATGCCAAAGAGGATTGAGGTCAAAATCCCATGGTCGAAAGCAGACAAAAAGGCAAAAGGTGACATGTTGTGCCGCATTTTAAAAAAGACTGTTTAATTATATAGAAAACTTGAATGTTAAAAGCGAAACCTGTATTCACCTTGTTTAAACTTTCAGGCAGGTTTGGTAGTGTCATGTCTTAAGCACTGACAAGACATTTTGCCGATCTAAAGATGCCAGTGGATTCTCAATTGCTTGGTCATTCGTCGCCATGTTTGAGAACATGACAAAAGCATGTTGCGCATGGTTTGCTTATTTGGAAATTCTCAAGGCAAGGCCACCATTTTTACCAAAACAACACAAAATGTTGCAAGAACTGCAAATGTCTTTGCTTGTCAATCAAAAATGCACATTTTAAAGAGTTCTGGATTAACTGATGGCACCTTGGGAAAGGTATGCAAAAAATCTAACCAAAATCAAAACGTGGAATCAAACAATCGTGAATCGAAGCGAATGTTTATAATAAAATTGTGATTAACTGAGAATTTGATTGATCATTATAACACTAGGATTTGATGGCAATGATAGATATTGATCTACTAAAGCACAACCATCAAAAATATACCATGGCCAATTTGACTTAAATTTTGGTCAGGGAGTAAACCCATATTTTTACTGATCCAATATTTTCAGGTGTGACACTTTCTCTTTGGGCCAACCCGTTGAACCGTGAACTATGCCCAGTTACTGCCCTTTTTGTGTGGTTACTAATAACAGGTTTGTTGAATTTACATGTTTGGTAAATGTTGTTGTTCAATTCAATACAACAGGTTTCTTGGCAAACCTGTATGTAAAAAGGGTTTTGTATGCAGAACTATCACATTAAGCAGCCTACATTGAGTAAATCAATAAGGAAATCAGCTGGCAGACTTTTTCTATTAATAGTTTTTGAATTATGATAACGAAAAAAGTGCTGCTAAAAAGTTAAGGTTGCCTGCCCCCCCCCCCCCCACACACACTCTCCCCTACCCCACTCCCCCCCACCACAAGTGAAAAAATTTAATTCTATAATTAGCTTTTAAGTAAGGAATAAGGTGTTTTTTCTTTTCTTTACCTACAGGAATTAAAAGAGGGAAAAATTATATTTTCCCTAGAGTTGCTAAAAGCAACCGAGCAGTGCTCCCTAACTGTGCTCATGGTGTCACATCATACTGGAAAACCTTTTTGGAGGTTGTATGTCCTATTTTTTATCACTAACTGGTAGTAAAAACAGGCTAACAGTAGCTGAGTTTAGAGAGGATGATGCAATTGATTGTCTAACGTTTGTGTCAAATTAACATAATATTAAAATACGAGCTGCATGGAAAAGAAGATTGGGTGTAATGATGTAATTTAGAGGCTGTATGGATGTGAGATGGTAGATGTGGGGATACAAGGAAGGGTACTAAATTTATCTTCTCTGACACAGTATACTTGCAGTATGTTCTGGATTTCACTTATCGATGTCAGCATACTTTTATGTTTCAGATGTCAAAGACGCTTTTTAGCAAAGAGTTTACTACTCACAGTATAAGACGGTCTGCAGCACGATGGGCCGCGAGGTGTGGAGCGAATGACAGCTCTATTAAGAGGGCAGGCCGATGGTTTGTGAGCTGATGTAGATTTTAACCTTGCAGTACTGAAATCTTAAAGTTTATGTATTAAATCTACATCTAACAATTGCCCATTTTATGAAATCTATTTGTTTTATGTTATTTTTCAAACTACTTTCGCTTATGATGTCTTTTGTGTGTCTGTACTTTAATCGCAAATTCCTATAGAGCAATCAAAACATAAGAATTACAGCTGCCATTGTATAATTTAATTTGATCTATAACTTGAATAATCTGAATGATAACTGTTTTGCTTGACTGTAGTTTTGTTATTCATAGATGATCAGTTCTGAAATAAGTGAATTGGACTAAATTAAGTGTTTCATTTTGTGTTTCAGGAAGTCCAACAGTTTCGAGCTATACACCCAAGATGCAAGGGCAGAGATGATTAAAGAACATCATGATGGTCAACCAGTGTCAGACCACAAAATGTGGATGTTCAAACCCCTGAGATAATTGGAGAGATTTAGATTCACAATTAAAGCAATAAAAATACAATTTGTATGAACACGTAATTTTGTAAACATATATTGTTTAAATTTTGACTCAAATTTGAATGAGTTTGAAGGCTTACACATAGAAATGAAACAGGGTCTGGACACATTCTTGAGTTGGTTTAAAATATACAGAAAAGGGGACTTATGAGGCCTGTAACAATTAATAATTCCAGATCAGACTAAAGTAAATCTCCTGTGAATTAGGCCTTAAAATTGGCCATTTTGGTTTCATTACACCACAGTTTGTGTGAGAAAGGATTAACACATGATTTGAACAAATGATCAGTTACCACACCTTTCAATTACACATGTATTCTGTAAAGTTCTGAGACCCAATTACTATTGGTTTTTCCACTGCTGACAATCAATGAACCTTGAATTATGGAACAATTAAGTCAAGTAATATGAATGAATTAAATTTAATTATCAAAACTCACCAAGTGGACCCTTTCTTTTTTGTATGAGGTTTGCTAAGAAAATTGATGGTAGCAAACACTGCAATAGGCCTTTATTGTATTAGCACGATGGAATTCTGATTTTGTATATTAAATAGCCTGGCAGTTTTTGTTTGTGTTCAGTAATCGACATCCTCGGAGACCCAGGGGCGGTTATTTGGGGCGAGAGGAAATAAATCGGGCAAAGAAATGAAGCGTCACAGGTTTACAAGTAAGGCAGATTTATTTCCTCTCGCCCCAACTAACCGCCCCTGGGTCTCGCGAGGATGAGTAATTAAAGGAGTCTTCAAAACTAACCTAGTCTGTCCCTCTCTACATTATAACTTTTTGTTAGTGACCACGCCTGCTTGATGTTATAGTTAGTGCCTAAAGTCGAGGAAAAAAAATAATATTTATGTCGACTCTTGAGCATTGCCTGACGGGCTTCACATTTATTGGTAGCGTGGAGTGTATTAAATTTGTAGTTCAATTGGGTTTTTTAATCGAGACCCAGCAGGGGACCGCCCAAATCTTTACTTATGCCTCGATGGAAGCTGAATTGCTGCAAGCACTATCACATTCAGTTGCAGTTGAAATGGTTGCAATTACCCCCATTTCTTCCTCGGCCCTAGGATTTATTTTTTTCTTTTTATGTTAAATTTTAGAATACTGCTTTGTGCAGTATTGTTTTCTGTGTTCCAACTGCAATTTTTGGTATCCTTGTAGTGCTTCCTGTTCTCTTTATTTGTCCAATAATTATTACAGCAATTTTTCATCAATGCAAGTAACTTAAAGCTAACAAATCCATTACAGGATTGTGAATTTGATTGCTTGAAAAGTCCAGTGAAGCTTAAATTGTTAAAACACAACATTCAACCGGACCTCCCCACTAAACTGTTGCGTAGGGATTCAGGCGATCCCATATTAAGTTTATACGTCATCCAAAGGTGACAGAAACTCGTTTTGTGGGCATGTCTTAGTTTCAGTAAATCCTAATTTTTTTCTTATAATTTGGTACCCTAAGCGCAAGCACTCTACAAATTTTGGTGTTCACAAAGGAAGCACCAAGCGTCACTATTTATAATATGCTTTCTTCACCATTGCACCTGACGTGCGTTTCTGAAACCTCCGGAAAACATTTCATGCCTGAGAAGTCTTAAGTCAGTTTCCAGTCTATGAGTAATATCTTTTTGGGCAAACCAGCACAGTGTAATTCTCATTTTTATAACGTGTTTTGTTAAAAGATTAATGAAAATACTAGAAATAGATTTTCTGGTAATGAAACTGGTGTACGTAAATTGGTATTTCATGACCGAAACGTTTTCGGCAGTGAGAAACGCGCGTCTGGCACTGTTAGTAACGTTAACATCAGGTAACATAAACAACGATTACAATATGGTCTTTTGAGAAACATGCCGAAATTTGACAAATAAGTTTATCTGTCAACGAGGTGGATGTAGCGAAAACAATAACATACAAAGTTTAGAAGTGTTGATTCCATAGGTCAGCACCGCACATGACAGCATTAGTTTTTCCGAGACGACCTTAAGGTCATTCTTGTCACCTCGCTTGATTCATTCTCGGAAACATTGGACGATGACAATGATGTTTCTTTGCTGTCATGCACGTCCGCGTGGATTTCGTCGAATTCCAGAAGGGCATGGGCCGTAGACATTTCAATTGGTAAATCCTTACAAAGTTCACTTCCACACTCGGGGCAAGGGACACCACAATTGAAGCACACTGGCATGTCGTCAAACCAAGGCATGGTACAGGGCTCGTTAACGGAGAAGGCAGAGTCCTCTTTTGGGTACGCTGGGCTTTTTCTTCGCCATTGATCTTGGCACCACTCAATCATTCTTTTAGTTGCTCTCTCTCCAGGTTTCCAACCCTCTGTTGCCGTCGTTACTTCTTCTTCCTCCATCCTGGCTTTCAGATGGTCAAACGGTCTTGCGTCCAACAGCTTGCAAACAAAATTTGCCACAACCTCGTGCATTTTCCATGTGAATTTCAGGCCTGACGTGTTCCTCCTCTGTTTCTTAACAAATCCTAACATTAAAATAAACTGCCAGACAGCTATATCATAGAGTGGTCTTAGAAAGGACAAACGGTTTGAAGACGGCATGTTAACAGTTGCCAAATATGCAAGTATGTGAAGTATGGGTGATAGATTAATGAACTAACGCTTACTCGTTCCTAGGGCCCTCTCTGTCATTTTGAATGCCGCGAAGGCCCTGGGGACAGGTTTTTGTCGACCCTTCTGGTCGTGGAAAATGGC